CTTACTGGCTCTTCTTTCTATTTCTTCCTTTTTTTTTTTTTTTAAGATTGGCACCTGAGCTAACAACTGTTGCCAAGCTTCTTTTTTTTTTTTTTTCTGCTTTATCTTCCCAAACCACCCTGTACATAGTTGTATATCTTAGTTGCAGGTCCTTCTAGTTGTGGGATGTGGGACGCCGCCTCAATGTAGCCTGATGAGCAGTGCCATGTCCGCGCCCAGGATCCGAACCCTGGGCCTCCGAAGTGGAGCGCGCAAACTTAACCACTCGGCCACGGAGCCGGCCCCTTTCTATTTCTTTCTTTTCTTTCTTTCTTTCTTTCTTCCTTCCTTCCTTCCTTCCTTCCTTCCTACCTCCCTCCCTTCCTTCCTTTCTTCTCTCCCTTTCTTCCCTCCCTTTCTTTCTTCCCTTCCCTTCCTTCCTTTCTTCTTTCAAAATATCGTGTAGCCAAAGTAATCTTGAGAAAGAACAAAGCTGGAGGCAACATGCTCCCTGATTTCAAACTATATTACAAAGCTATAGTAATCAAAACAGTATGGGGCCGGCCCCGTGGCCGAATGGTTAAGTTAGCGTACTCTGCATCAGCGGCCCAAGGTTTCACCGGTTCGAATTCTGGGCGCAGACATGGCACCACTCATCAGGCCATGCTGAGGCAGCATCCCACATGCCACAACTAGAAGGACCCACAACTAAGAATATACAACTACATACTGGGGGCTTTGGGGAGAAAAAAGGAAAAAATTTAAAAAATCTTAAAAAAAACCCAACAGTATGGTAGTGACATAAAAACAGACACATAGGGGCCAGCCCCGTGGCTGAGTGGTTAAGTTCACACACTCCATGTCAGCGGCCCAGGGTCTCACTGGTTCAGATCCTGGGTGTGGACATGGCACCACTCATCAGGCCATGCTGAGGTGGCATCCCACATAACACAGCCAGAAGGACCTACGACTGGAATATACAAATATGTACTAGGGCGGGGCTTTGGGGAGAAGAAGAAGAAGAAGGAAAAAAAAGAAGATTGGCAACAGATGTTAGCTCAGGGGCCGGTCTTTAAAAACAAACAAACAAACAAAAAAAACCAGATACATAGATCAGTAAAACACAATAGAGAACCCAGAAATAAACCCACACATGTATGATCAGTTAATTTACAAGAGTCCACCCTGGCGGTCCAGTGGTTAAGATTCAGTGCTCTCGCCACTGCAGCCTGGGTTCATTTTCAGGTCAGAGAACCACACCACCCATCTTTTGATTGTCCTACAGTGGCAGATGCATGTTGCTGTGATGCTGAAAGGTACACCACCAGTATTTCAAATACCAGCAAGGTCACCCATGGTGGACAGGTGTCAGCAGAGCTTCTAGATTAAGACAGACTAGGAAGAAGGACCTGGTCACCCACTTCCAAAAAGTTGGCCATGAATAGTAGCGGAGCATTCTCTGATACAGCGCCAGAAGGTGAGAGGATGACAAGAAAACCAGGCAGGGTTCCACTCTGCCAGACACAGGGTCACTAGGAGTCAGAACTGACTCCACAGCACTAACAACAACAAAATTTCCAACAAAGGATCCAAGGATATACCCTGAAGAAAGGACAGTCTCTTCAATAAATGATGTTGGGAAAACTGGACAGCCACATGCAAAAGACTGAAACTGGACCACTATCTTACACTGTGCATAAAAATTAATGAAAATGGATTAAAGACTTGAATATAAGACCTGAAACCATAAAAGTCCTAGAAGAAAACGTAGGTGGTAAGCTCCTTGACATCGGTTTTTGAGATGATTTTTTGAATTTGACACCTAAAGCAAAGGCAATGAGCAGAAATAAACAAGCGGGACTACATCAAACTAAAAAGCTTCTGCACAGCAAAGGAAACCATCAACAAAATGAAAAGGCAACCTACTGATTGGAAGAAAATATTTGCAAATCATATATCTGATGAGGGGCTAATATCCAAAAAACATGAAGAACTCGTACAACTCAACAGCAACAGAGAAACAATCCAATTAAAAAATGGGTAGACAGGGGCCAGCCCAGGGCACAGTGGTTGGGTGCGCACGTTCCGCTTCGGCAGGCCAGGGTTCACAGCTTTGGATCCTAGGTGTGGACATGGCACCACTTGGTGAACCATGCTGTGGTAGGTGTCCCACATATAAAGTGGAGGAAGATGTGCATGGATGTTGGCTCAGGGCCAGTCTTCCTCAGCAAAAAGAGGAGGATTGGCAGCAGATGTTAGTCAGGGCTAATCTTCCTAAAAAAAAAAAAAAGGCAGACAATCTGAATAGACATTTTTCTAAAGAAGACATACACATAGCCAATAGGTACGTGGAAAGATGCTCAACATCACTAATCATCAGGGAAATGCAAATCAAAACTACAATGAGACATTACCTCACACCTATTAGAATGGCTCTTACCAAAAAGAAAAAAAAGAAAGAAGTGTTGGCAAAGAAGTGGAGAAAAGGGAACCCTTGTGCAATCTAGTGGGAATGTAAATTGGTGCAGCCATTGTGGAAAACAGTATGGAGGGTCCTCAAAAATTTAAAAATAAAACTACCATATGATCCAGCAATTCCACTTCTACATATTTATCGGAACAATACGAAAACACTAATTCAAAAAGACATCTGCACTACCATGTTCATTGCAGCATTATTCACAACAGCCAAGACATGGAAACAACTTAGGTGTCCACTGATGGATGAACAGATAAAGAAATTGTGGCATATAGATATATGCAATGGAATATTATTCAGCCATAAAAAAGAATGAAGTCTTGCCATTTGCGACAACATGGACGGACCTTGAGAGCATTATGCTAAGTGAAATAAGTTAGACAGAAAAAGATAAATACCATAGGATCACTCTTATATCTGTGGAATCTACAAAAAAAACCCAACAGGGGCTGGCCCCGTGGCCGAGTGATTAAGTTCATGTGCTCCGCTGCAGGCGGCCCAGTGTTTTGTTGGTTCCAATCCTGGGCGCGGACATGGCACTGCTCATCAAACCACGCTGAGGCAGCGTCCCACATGCCACAACTAGAAGGACCCGCAACGAAGAATATACAACTATGTACCGGGGGGCTTTGGGGAGAAAAAGGAAAAAATAAAAAATCTTTAAAAAAAAAAAACCCAACAAAAACAAGCTCATAGATACAGAGAACAAATTGGCGGTTCTAAAGGGCAGGGGGTGGTGGGAGTAGGAGAAATAAGTGAACTGTTTTGTTCATTTGTTCAGTTTAAATAAATTGAATAAAATTAAAAAACCAGAAAACCCCCCAAATATAGTGTATTTCATCAATTTGAAGAGGCACAGTTTTTCATATGGTAATGTTTCTGAAATTGGGATTGATGGTGTAGAATATTAAACTGGTAGTGGTTTTTTAGTGGTGGGTAATAATGGTATATGCTCCAGTTATCCATTGCTGCCTAACAAACCACAGCAAAATTTAGTTGCATAAAATGACCACCATTTTAGGGACTGGCCCCATGGCCAAGTAGTTAAGTTTGAGTGCTCTGCTTCAGTGGCCCAGAGTTCACTGGTTCAGATCCTGGGCGCAGACTTACACACCTCTCATCAAGCCATGCTGTGGCGGCGTCCCACATAGAAGAACTAGAATGTCCTAAAACTGTAATATTCAACTAGGTGCTGGGCTCTGGGGGAAAGAAAAGAAACAACAACAAAAACAACCACCATTTTACTATGCTCACAGGTTATGTGCATCTGGAATTCAGACAAGGCATGGCTTGTGTCAACTTCACAATGCCCGAAATCTCAGCTGGGAGACTTGAATGGCTGGGATGATTAGAAGAGTTTGAAGCTAGAATCATCTGGAGACGACTTCACTCAACCTGTCTGGTTCCTTGGTTGGGATGACATGAATAGTTGGGGCTCACTGGACATCTATCTATCATCTGTCTGTCTATTTGTCTATCTATCTATCTAATCATCTTTATATATTCTTGGGACTTCTTCACGTGGACTTTCCACACGGCCTCTCTATTATGGCAGCTCAGGGTTGCCAGGGCGAGTGTACCACTGAGCAAGGCAGAATTTGCATGTGTTTTATGACATCGTCTGAAGTCACATAGCATCGCTTCACTGTACTCTCTTGCTTGAAGCAGTCATAAGCCTGCCCAGATTCTAGCGGAAGACACACAGACCACCAACCTCTCCATAAAAGGAGTGTCAAAGAATTTGGGGCTCTGTTTTAGGATGGTCAGAGTGTATCTTACAATCAGTGGGGTCTTAGAGTCCATAAAATACAGTCTCTTGAACTCGACCACCCCTCACGACCTCCACTGCTACCACCCCGATCCAGGCCATAACCAGCATCCATCTGCCTCTGTGATTCCACTCTTTCCCCTCTAGCCACCCCCCACCATCTATTCTCTACACAGCCCAAATTATCCTTCTAAAACATTAATCAGGTCATGTGACTCCTTTACTCTTAACCCTCTATTGGCTTCCCATCACCCAGAACGAAATCCGAAGTTCTAACTTTGACTTATGAGGCCATACATAATTGGACTTCATTTCCAATCTTATTTTCCACCAGTTTCCTCCTCGTTCGTTGTGTTTTACAGCAGTGGCAACATTGCTGTTTCTCAAACAAGTCTCTCATATTCCCACTCCGGGGTCTTTCATTTGCGGTTCCCTCTGCCTGTTGCTCTCTTCTCCTAGATATCTACATGGCTAGATCCCTCACCTCATTCTGATCTCTGCTCAGATGTCACCTCCTCAGAGAGGCCTTCCTTGATCTCTCCATCTAAAACCTCACCCCACCCCCATCACTCTCTGTCCCTGGACCCAGCTTTGCTTGACAGCACTGATGAAGCCTATACACTCCAGTTTCATTTGTATGCACACTGTCTTTCTTCCCCTTCAAGGCAGTTATTATTTGGTTCACTCCTGCATTCCCAAAGCCTGGCACATAGGGGTGCTCAATAGATATTCATTGAGTGAATTCACCTATTGGCTCCTTCCTCACTGTATTACCTTTGGGAAATCACTCCTCTGGTCAGTTGGCAGGTAGGCTGGAGGCTGGCTGTTCCCACATGGTCTCACTCACATGTTCATTAGTTGGCCAGCTGTCAGTGGAGTGAAGGGGGAAACTGGATCACAAGTCTCTCATCCTCCAGCAGGTTGGCCCAGGTGGTCGCAGGAGTTCCAGCGCAGCAAGAGGGCAAGCTCCAAATGCTCAAACACTTTCAGGTTTCTGCTTAGGTCACATTTGCTACTGTCCCATTGGCCAACACAGATCACATGGCCATGCCAGTCATTGTGAGAGGACAGTACCAAAAGACATGATACAGGGAGGCAGGAACAACTAGAGGACTACTGCTACGACGATCTACCCCCACAGGTGAAAGCGTTCAATCTCAGGACGGAGTTAACAGCTAAAGTGCAATGGGGGCGGGAGGCGGCAAGGAGGAGAAATGACTTCTGACTCAGGGTTATGGAAAAGCAATGGACTTTGAGTCAGCCTTTAGAGGATAGGTGGCTTGAGATGGATGCAGATGGACAGTTAGGACATTTCAGATGATAGACAATCCAAGCATTTGCAGGGAAAAAGTATTAGTAGTAAGAATAATAACAGATCACTATCACTGTCTGAGCTTTACCATGTACTAGGCTCTGAGCTAAACGCTTTAAAAGCATTATCTCATTTAATCCTCATAATCATCCAGGAAGCTAGGATCTACTTTTATCCCAATTTTATAGAAAAGGAAAATAAGACCTAGAGAAATATTTTTTTAGCTACAACACTAAAAGCAAAATCCATAAAAGAATAAATTGAAAAACTGAACTTTGTCAGAACTTAAATTTCATTCAAAAGAGAAGGAAAACACAAGCTACTGGGAGAAAAATTTTTGCAAAGTGTGTATCTGGTAAAGTATTTATATCCAAAATATGTAAAGGACTCCCAAATAATAAGAAAACACTCAATAACAAGAAAACAAACAACTCATTAAAAAAAGGCAAAAGCTTTGGACAGACGCTTCACCAAAGAAGATCTGTGATTTGCAAATAAACACATGAGAAGAAGCTCAACATTATTAGACATTAGAGACAAGTAAATGAAGACCACAACGAGATATTACCATACACCTATTAGAATGGCTAAAACTAAATAAAAAACAAAACTGACCATACAAAGTGTTGGTGAGGATGCAGATGAGATTGAACTCTCATGTGCTTCTGGTGGAAATGTCAAATGGTACAACCACTATTTAAAAACATTTTGCTGTTCCTTGTAAAGTTCACATACACCTACCATAGGATCCAGCCATTCTACTCATAGGCATTTTCCCAAGAGAAAAGATATACTTGGGGCCAGCCTGGTGGCATAGTGATTAAGTTCACACACTGTGCTTCGGTGGCCCAGGGTTGGTGGGTTTGGATCCCAGGCAAGGACCTACACACCACTCATCAAGCCGTGCTGAGGCAGCATCCCACATACAAAAAATAGAGGAAGATTGGCACGGACGTTAGCTCAGGGCCAATCTTCCTCAAGCAAAAGCTTGGTGATAGATGGTAGCTCAGGGCCAATCTTCCTCACCAAAAAAAAAAAAAAAAAAAAGGGATATACTTGTCCATACAAAGACTTGTATGTGAGTGTTCATAGCACCCTGATTTGCAATAGCCAAAACTTGAAAACAACCCAAATGACCATCAATAGGTGAACGGATAACATATACCCACATAATGGAAATACTACTCAGCAATAACAAGAAATGAATTACTCGTATGCACAGCAACATGGGTTAATATCAAAGTAGTTGTGCTGAACGAAAGAAGCCAGATCCACCCGCCTAAAAAAAACTATGTTCTTATGTACAAAAGAATACATATTATATGGTTCCATTTATATAAAACTCTAGAAGATGCAAACTAATCTATAGTGACAGAAAGTAGATCAGTTGTTGCCTGGGGAGGGGTTGAATAGAGGGATCCTCAAGGGGCCCAAGAAAACTTTCGGGGGTGATGGATATATTGATTCTCTTGGTTTTGGTGATGGTTTTAATGGGGGAATCCACATATCAAAACTTATCAAATTGTATACTTTAAATGTGTGTAGTTGATTTACTGTATGTCAGTTATACCTCAATAAAGCTGTTTTAAAAAAAGAGAGAAGAACCTTAGGGACATTAATCTGGCAGAGAATATAGGGTAGGCTGGCGTGCAAGTGCCCTGATAATTTATCGCTGTCTAACAAAAGATCCCAAGATGTAGTGGCTTAAAACAACACCTATTTTATTCCACTTCACTATTTTGTGGATTAGGAATTCAGGCTGCCTCAGATATGTGATGCCCCATGGCACCAACTCGGTAGTATTCAGGCTGGGATGGCCTGGAGGTTCCAAGATAGCTTCACTCACTTGCCAGGCACCTTGGTGGGGATGGCTGGGAGGCTGGGCTCAAATGGGCCCCTTTCCCTCTCCATGTAGACTCAGGGACTCTCCAAGTAGTCTTACATGGTGGCTCAGTCTTTCAGAGACCAAGGTGGAAGCTGCCAGTTCTTTTAAAGGCTGAGCCGAGAACTGGCATAGCATCACTTCTGCCATATTCTATTGGTCAAAGTAGCCAGGAGCCAGTCCAGACTCTAGGGGAGGGGCACTAGACCCCACCCCTCAATGAAAGCCCTGGGAGTGAAGGAGAGGCTGAGCTGAAACAGCCAGGACCAGGCAGAAAGCATAATGAGCCCTAAGCCATTGGGTGTGGGTGTAAACGGGTGGTGGGCAGCGCTTGTGTGGAAGAGTGGAAAGGGAGATTTGGGACAGAGCAGAGAGGTCCTTGACCTTCAGGTTAAGCAGTTGGAGTTCACTGTTTCAGGTAAGGGGCAGCCCTTGCAGTCTGGGGCAGGTGAATGAGTGAAGGTTGGAAGACGGTGGTTAGGCTTAACAGTATGTACTCATTTATGTATCATTGGATTTTCTGCTCTATTTATTTGAAAAACAACTTTTATAGTTTTTTGCCCCTTTATTATGAAAGACACATGTTTCCTTTTCGAAAGTCTAGGCTGAGAGCTTAGCTTAAACATGGCGGGCCACAGGCAGCCACTGTGGGGTCTTGCGAGTGACAGGAGGCGAGATCGCAACTCTCTATTACAGACGGGCAGGAGGATGTAACTGGTTGTGTGAGGAGCAGAGGTCCAGTGAAGGGTGGCGATTAGGCAATGACAAACTTAAGTGAGTAGGCAGGCAGTTTGCAAAGCACTCTGCTGAATACTGACAATAATAATAAAAAACTAATATTTAAATGTGTGCTTGAGCACTTACATGTGATTGGTATTATACTAAGCACTGTAGATTTAGTAGCTCATTTAACCCTGATGGACTAGATAGGTACTTGTATCAGTCCCGTTATATGCATGAGAAATCTGAGGCACAGAGAGGTCAAGTCACTTGCCCAAGGTCATGCAGTGGAGTGGTGGAACTGGGATGTAAGCCTAGCTGAGCTCTGAAGTACCTTTAACTACCAAAGCTGGATATTGACTTTTACCGTTCACATGTGCGATTCAAGTTTCCCTGCTGTAGTCTATAAACTTCTAGATGACTAGCGCTTACATTGTATCACCTGACTTGTTGCTATTCTGAACTCTGGGTTGTTGAAAGCAGCTGACACACTTCTGTTAATGATTCCAAGGCCAGAGTCAGGGGAGAGTCAAGAGATGGCCCAGTGAGTGGAGCTCCACCCCCTCAACTGGCAGGATGCAAGCAATGATTCAACGGTTGTCTGTTAGGCTGCCCACCCCCCCCCAAGTCCCACGGTTCACAATAGTAATTGTGCTATAATGTTTGTTTAATGTTTAAAAAAATACCCTGGTGATTTATGTATTTAAAAATTATGTGAATGCACCCTGAGGATGACGGTGAAAGGTGCAATTTTGACATCAAAACAAGTGGGTGCACCAAATATTTAATTAAAGTTTCATACAAAGGAGTTGCAAAGTCGCTCGGATGGAAACGTGGTCTAACCTGCAACTCCAGGTCTGAGAGAGTGTCAGGGTTAGTGTCATCTGGGAAAATGGTTACAGATGAATTCGAGAAAGAATGCAAATTTACTGCGTACATAATTTCAGCCTTGGTTTCTTTAAAAAAAGGGTTACTTATTAAAATACAAAATGCTATATTTTCAGGATTCGGGAAGGTTATATGTCCTCCCTAATGGTAACTCGTGGAGGGAAAACTAGAAGGCTAGGGCTGGCCCAGTGGCGCAGCGGTTAAGTTCGCACGTTCTGCTTCTCAGCCGCCCTGGGTTCACTGGTTCGGATCCCGGGTGTGGACATGGCACCGCTTGGCATTTCATGCTGTGGTAGGCGTCCCACATATAAAGTAGAGGAAGATGGGCACGGATGTTAGCTCAGGGCCAGGCTTACTCAGCAAAAAAGAGGAGGATTGGCAGTAGTTAGCTCAGGGCTAATCTTCCTCAAAAAAAGAAACCCCAAAAAAACCTAGAAGGCTGTGTGCTCCTCCTGTGCTAAGAAAGGGTGTTTATTAGCTAAGATGGCAATGAAAACTTTAATACTAGTTTATAGCAGGAGACTGTCTTTGGCTCTTCATCCAGACACGTGGTTCTTGTTCCTCTCATGGATGAGATATAGCCTTATTGGAATCTCATTCTAATTTGTTCTTTATACCAGATTTTAACACATCATAAGTGCATTTCTATACAATTTGAGTTAAATTAATTGCTTTAAGGATTTCCCTCTTTCCTACCTATGGTAAAGGAAGTCTTAATGGAAATGAGCAATGTGCTAATTTAACAATTTACACTGCAGCCCTCTTTCCTGGCAACGTCCTGTCAATTCAAGAAAGGAAAGAAAGGGAAGCTGCCCCATGAAGAGAAATCAAAACCTTTTTTGCCCCCCTTCTCTTTCTTTTTTCTTTTCTTTTTGACTTATTCTGAGCAATTGTCCCCAGGAAACTAACCCACCAACCGCTGCCAAGTTTGATTCCTCTTTCTGGACTGACCGCCTTCCTGCTTCTCCATGAGGTCTCAGCTGACTTTTCATCTCTGCTCTCCACTTGCGAGATATTTTAGAGTCATAGGACCAGGAGGACTGTTGAGTTCTTTTTCTTTTTTTAAAACCTTTTTAGACGCTAGTGGGTGGGACCAACCGAGAGGGAGACAGCAGGTCTGGCCCATCCCTTTTCTGACCCTCTGGGGCCATCTTCCTTCTGGCAATTCTTTTCCCCCCATCTGTTTTCCTCTTGTTTTT